ATTAGTTACTGTGTTAGCGTTTGTAAAAAAAATTAAAAAAAATAAATAAAAAAGCTTTGGCTGAATGAACCGAGACAACAAGAAGCGTTAAAGTCAACTCACCCCTGATACACCTTTGTGCCAAAAAGTGACCGTCTTCCAAAAACTGATCAACTGCAGTGGGAGTCTGTTTCARAGTGACTAAATCTGGTCTGTGCGACCACTAAATAACAACAGACTTATTACTTAGGTAATATTGACGATAGCAACTTTGTATTTAGTTAAAAAATAATTAACCACAAAAAAATTACTGAATTAAATTCCTTCTTCATGTTTTGAAAATGATATGAGGAACACCCACATTAAGTTCATTGAGCTCCACAATACCCCAGCTGAGTTCTGCTCCACTCCTCTTTATGTTCCACAATCCTGCTTCAAAACTGACAGAAAAAGCTTGCACACTAAGAAACATGACTTAAAGCTAAAAAAACATGGAACACTCACAGTCAGTAGCAATAAAAATGAAAAAATGGGAAATGGACTGAACTTACAGAGCGCTTTATCAAGTCCCTCCGGACCCCAAAGCGCTTTATACTTACAGACATTCACCCATTCACACACATATTCACACACTGACGATGGTGGTAAGCTACATTGTAGCCACAGCTGCCCAGGGGTACACTGACAGAGGCAGGGCTGCCATGGGCAGGGTCCACGCCAAAAAGCATTTGATTTGATTGTAACATGTTACAACACCTGGACACGTGTAGATTTGTATATTGCTGGGTTGCAGATGACAGTATTGACATCATGAAATGCTGATGGGGAGCAGGAAGTAAACACAGCCATGTTTCCTTCTGTTGATTCAGCTTCAAAATGCCTAAATTCTGTGTCGTGTATATTTGTTGCAACCACTTTAATCAGAAGAAAGATAAAAGTTTTTTTTGTGTTCTGAAAGTAGTGTGTCACAAGAGATTAAAAAAAAAGACCACAAATGTGGATCAGTAATCTTCGGTTGAAAACAGGAGGTGTGGAAATGAATTATACAAGAGTTGCAGCAACCACTTTCTAACAGGTAAAGATCATATAATTTAAATCATATTTTTAGACATATTATTGGACAGTTACTCAAATGTGGGTATATAGAAGCTAAATGAATTATTTACAAGAAGATCCAAGCACATAGAAATAGCAGGAGTTAACTCATTGTTAGCGTTAGTGATAGCATTGTTATCATAGGCTAATTCCTTAAAATAGCATAACTCACTCCTCACCCGGGCAGGAACAAGTCGACAGTCATTTAAAGCTTCTTYGGATCCTAAATGTTTGTCCCAACCTGTAACTAAACAATTGGAGCTTCGAGGCTTTTAAAAGCTTTCATCTGGCTCGTCATATAATATGAAGTCTGCAGCACCAGATAGTTTGTCGATTGCCTCGATGCCGGGTAAAACCTCCAGAATATATGACAAGTCTTTTTTTATTAAGACAATATGGATCAAATCCTAAATGTACGCATATTTTTTCACGATATCTCATCTGCACCAGCCCATTTAGGGCATTAACATACTCRCTGTGATCCATTTCTCTGTATTTTGAACCAGAGAAAATCAATTCCTGCCCCCCAAATACTCACGCATCATCCGGGTCACATGACTGCAGCCCAGCAATACACCTCTGTACATTTTAATATCATATGCAGTTGTTAAAAATTTCAACAGATCGGTTTCATGCTTCAGTATGAAAAGTGTTTGAACTTCTTCTTTTAACATTATGAGCAAAATAAGTATTTTTTGTAAACTTGGCGTTGAATCCAGTGTGTCTTTTTTAAAAAAGATAATCTTTAATAATCTTGTCTAAATGTGTTTTTCATTAAAAGGCATATTTAACAGACACAGGTGTGTGTTCTCCTTTGTGTTTTTTATGCAGACTGTGTCCAATATGTATTGTCATAATGTATACAATGAACAGACACAAGAGTATTGATCAGTTTTCTTGACTCTCAGCCATAATGCAAATATGCAAAAGAGCTTGGCTGACAGGTTTATTCTACTCACGGGTGCCTCCTGTTGAACTCCTCAATACAGAAACTATGAAACATTTTGTGTTTTAAAGATCACAAAACAATCTGGTTTGAGCTTTTTAGTCCTGCGATAATTGAACCCTTTCTGTAGCATTGATATAAGACATGTTGGACTACATTGTTTTACCACATGTAATTATAATATTGGAGTGAACGTTCTCATTTATATGCCAAACTTTAATGCCACCTGTTCTCTTTGTCTCTGCATTTCTGTCGTCAGGCTGCTGATCCAGGCTGGCATCGACATCAACAGGCAGACCAAAGCAGGCACTGCCCTGCACGAAGCTGCCCTCTGTGGGAAGACTGAGGTGGTGAGACTCCTGCTGGAAGTAAGTGGGTCTTTAAATAAAAAGCCTTCCAGCACTGAAACTGGGACAAGTCTCTCAGCAAACAAAAACACAAACAAACATAGAAAAAGTCCTGTCATTGGCATTAACATATTTACATCTGTTGAACAGGACAAGAATAGTCAAATAGAAAAAAAAATCTCATATTTATTTAAAATGCAAAATCAGGTTGAGATCATTTTGTAAAAAGCCATTTTGTTGGAGTACAAAAATGAAGATTGTTTTTATTAACAAAMAAGCAGTGGGGGAAATAGTAAATTGTACCGTAGCAAGCTAATTAAACTTTCTGAGGAAAAATATCAGACACTAAACACAGCACAAGTGTAAGAGGAGAACTGGATGATAATTAATCTGTAAAATACAGAAAAATGGACTGATTGCACTGTTTAAAAAATTTGAGGTACATAGTAATAAAGTACGTACAGAAAATCCAAGTTAAAGGCAGTTCACAATGCTCAAACTCTGGTTCTCCACCAGAAGCTTGGGAGCTTGATGGTTCTTCTTCCTAGGACTACTCTCTTCTAGACGGAGATCTCTGAGGGTGTTCATGGGATTTATTGGAGCCACTACCACTCTCCACAACCCTTGGTGGAGTCTCCCAATGTGTAGGTCCTCCACACAGATGTTCCTGGTCCAGACACTCGTTTATGGGATTCGATGTACGCTTTGCCTGCCCAGTTCTTACATTATTACATGTCCATCTTCAATCTTCTTTGCACAATCTGCAATTTTAGGTCTTRTCTGGTAYGGTGGGCTCTTGTGTTAAAGATCTGCTTTTGTGCTGCCGTGTTTAGTGCCTCTGTGCAGTCCTTCAGTCCAGCCTTCTCTAGCCACTGGTAGGATCTGTTGATATCAACCACTTCCTCTAGGTMTGTGCTACAAGCTGTGCAGGGACTTATCGTTCCATGATGGCTCCTCTTGTTCCACCTCTTCCACACTGGGTTTCTGGCGCTACCTGAGGCATCASTTCATCTTTGGGTGTTTTCTTCCTGATGTTTCCTCTAATAAAATGTACCTGGATCACTAACATAAGAACTAACATAATGCTGCCTAGTCTCCTACTACTCTCCAAATAGTTTTATTACCTGCTATTCTCTGCATCCCCAAGATGTTCTGTACTTTCAGCATGCTGTATATGTTAGCAGAAASTTTCCTCTACTATAACACTGCGTAGGCCCCTGACTGCACCATGGCCTAGGTCCCAATCTAGCATACCTCTGATGCCATGGGTGTTATATCTGCACTAGATTGTTTCCATGTCCTTGCCCTGTAATGAGTCTTAATGACCAGGTYACGCAGGTGAGCAAGGGCACCACATCATGGATACCCCGCTACCACAAGTTACCCAGGTTCTCGATCTCGACACGCTGACACAGCGATAATAAARCATCAGAACTTTACTCCAGGAACTTTGTGCACGCTTAAAACCCCTCTATGAGCTGTCACACTCTATTACGCTTAAAGGGCAGATCTTTGCTTTCCTCATACACCCCTGAAGACCACGCCCTGCAAAGACTGACAAAGACGTTCTGGMTTAGTTTTTACAACAGTGAGGTCATCATCCACAGTAAAGGAGCATGAGGTCTAATATGCTTTAAGTCACATAAATTCTAGGGAATAATTCCTTGTGGTTGCCGTTTTCTGAAAAGAATCAGGGAAAACCCTTCATCCTCGTGACAAAAGTGCRTCACAGTTCTGAAGAAGCTAGTGTTAAACAGCAGGACAGATGTGATACAAACRGTCTTCTCAAGACGGCAACAATGAAAGTCATAAGGTTCGTGAAAACAAGAGAGGCAATATGTTTTAATGGCCCTGTGTCCTCCGGCATGAGAAACTAATGCTGTCGTTTGTACCCCCGACTGCGAAAGACTGAGACTTTGCCCCAAAGCACATTTGGACTGAATTCATCTTTGTTCATTTAGCCTATATTTGATGCCGCTGAGCTAAATGCGATGTTGTTGTGCAGCTTTCGGCAGTCTCTGCTGAAAAATAAGATGCACTTTTAAATTAGCAGAGGAGCCAGATGGGACTGAGATTATTATCTGTTCACATCATAATGAAAAATCACCACATCCCTGAGGTGCACATAGACATTCAGAATTATTAGTTTTGAGTACTCAAATTTGTTAGTTTATTTTTTTTCTGTTACAGTTACATAAAGTCTACTATGTACTGTATAATGACTTTCCCAGCAAGATCTTGTTTTGTGTGTTTTTAACCATAGAAGTGACAGTCGAACCTATGATAATATGATATCTTCTTGTAATATTAAAAAATAAAACAGGAAGTCCATTCCAAATAAAAAGTTTGTTTTTTTCCTACAGAGTGGTATCAATGCTACGGTGAGAAACACATACAGCCAGACTGCGCTTGACATCGTCTACCAGTTCACTGCAACACAGGCCAGCAGGGAGATCAAACAACTGCTGAGGGGTAGGATGGATGGATGGATGGATGGATGGATGGATGGATGGATGGATGGATGGATGGATGGATGATGGATGGATGGATGGATGGATGGATGG